GCCATCATATAATTTAAATATGTATCAACCCATACACTCTGTAACTCCATGACAAACAGCTGGCAAAATTATGTACTGTCCAAAAGATTATCTAGACCAGTCTCTAAAGTTTGGTGGCAGATCCAGAAACTATCAGGAAAACATTCTCCTCATCTTGCCCCAGTACTCCATATCAACAATAGCCTCATCTCTGACCTTCAAGTGGCTACTGAACTTGGTGCCTATTTTAGCCAAGCCAGTAGCAGCTCTCACTTTTCTCCTCTCTTCCCTTTCATAGAATCAGACAAAGAGTGCACTCTCATCTCCTTCTCCCTCTCCTCTAATGCACCTTTTTCTCCTTCAGAAATCTCCTATGCCCAGATGGTACACATTACCAGAAACTTTCCACCCCTTTGGCATGAAGCCCTAATACTACATTTCTTAAAACCAAACAAATCCTTCCACAAGACTGCACTTTCATGGCACTCACAAGCTGCTTAGGTAAATTACTAGAAAGGATGGTAAACATCCAGCTAATGGGGTACCTCGAATGCAACCTTATCTCTCAAAATCAGTTTGGATTTTGTCATGGCAGAAGCACAGCTGATCCTCCTGCATATTTCGAAATACACATCACATCAGCATTTGTAGTCTTTTTCAATTTAGAAAAGGCATATGATAGTACATGGTGGCACCATTTCCTTCAATAACTATCATCCAATGGCATATGCAGAAACATGGGCATTTTCATAAAGTCCTTTCTTTCTGATCACACCTTCTGTGTCAGATTTGCTACTTCCACTTCCTCTTCTTCCCACAATTCGAAGGTGTCCCATAAGGCAATGTGCTCAGCACCAAGTTATTTCTCATTGCTGTAAGCAGATTAATTTTACCTCTACCACCAGGAATCCAGTCATCACTATGTGTAGATGATCTACCCATCTTTGCCTCCGGTCCTTCCATACCAGCCCTGTATCAACTTCTCCAGTCGGCAATAATATCAATTTCTTCTTGGGTGACCAGCCTCGACTTTCAATTTTCTACCTCTAAAACCTTTTTCATCCTTTTTCAGGTGCCTTTTGATCCTCTCCAGTTGAGAGCCTCTATACTGAATCAGGCCTTTCTCGACGTCGCGTTCTTTTGTCTCTAAGAAGCTATCCTTGTTTTCATCAATTCTCTCTCTCGAAACTAACTGACCCTCTATCCTTTCTTCATACCTTCTTTCCATGTTTACCAACCCCTTCCCTGTTCGTATGGACACTTTACTTTCCCATTAACCTATTCCTCAACTCTGAATCCTTCCTCTTTCCGTCCAGACTTTCCTTCTCTGACTAACACTTTCCTTTGTAATTGATCTTTTACTATTCCTGACCCACCTAAATCAAATATCCCACTTTCTATCCTTCTCACACATTTTCTTGCACATATCACTCCTCCAGTACCAATGTCTATAAAGATGGCTCCAAATCCACCTCGGGTACTGACTTCACTGTAGTCTTTCTTTCTCATACATACAACTTTCCTCTTCCAACAAAGCTATATGCTATCCTCTTCACTTTACAATGCATGTCTTCCATCTCTTCCTCATTCTTCTCCATCTTCACCGACTCATGCAACTCAATATCACTCATACACTTTGTCCATAAAATACAGGATTAGCTATTTTATGTCTACATGACAGAAAACATTTAAATTTTGCTGGATACCCAGCCATGTTGGGATCCCTGGCAATGAAAAAACACATACCTTGGCACTATCTACTGCCTTGTCTACAATCTATCAACCCTGGTTTTCATCTATCCCAGCCACAGTCTACTACCCTCACTTCAAAACTCTCCTTTATAACCAGTGGCAATCTTTCTGGTCAGGTCTGACCACCAGTAAACTACAAAACATAAAACCTTGCATCTTTCCTTGGTTGGCACCATACTATCAGAACAGATGCTTGGAAACTGCCCTTGCCTGTTTATGAATAGGTCACACCAGCTCACATATTCATACCTCATGTCGTGCTCCAACCCACCTCTATGCTCCTCATGCAATGCTCCTCTCTCAGTCCCACACATCTTACTATCCAGCCCCCGCTTTATTGAAGCCTGTACCCTCACTTTTCATCTCTTCCCTTCCTCCACTTTTCCATTCCCATTCTCCTTCCTCAGATGCATAAATACCCACCATTTGATCTAATCACCCTTTGTCCTTAACCCATTCGCCCCACATAGCAAGAATAGATGCCATACCCACTTTGATACACGTTTATTTATTGTATTTAAACATAGATGGCTCCCCAAGTTCTTAATCACCAAATAGCCAGTTATCACGAACTACCTATTTCACCTGTTTACTCTTTTCCTTCACTTTAGGAAAGGGTTTTTTGTATCATTTAATTGTCTAAAATATTCTAATGACAATTTAATAATCATAACATCAATAACAATAATAACTGTATCGATAACAACGGTATTAATTTTCCCACCAATTCAATGAATGGGAAAATCAGGGTCGGTAACAAGGGCCTACTGATAGACTCCTTGCCGGCTGAGCACATGTGGAGCCATCTGAATGTAACAAAATTCACCAAAAACTACAGGTGACAGAACATAAATCCGGGGCGAATGGGTTAATCCTTCCCCCTTCTATCAGTCCCTATCCAACCCCATTTACTCTCCCTCTTTCGACCCCTTTCACTACTATACTATCTACTTCTCTTAGTACTAATAATGAACCCCTATAAACTACTTTCACCACAGTATTTTACCAGTGCTATATGACCTTTGATGTCTAGCACATTTACTTATTCAAAGCATTAACCATTATACCTGGTTGTAGCCAGGTATTGTTATTGTTATTATTTTTATTATGTTCCTAACAGTACTAATTGTAATAAAAAACAATAACAATGAATGCCAACTGGGTTAATGGACTAAATATTCACAACATTAAGTTACTGTTTTTCTGCATGTCTTACTCCATGAATGGACCTAGTTTTGTAAAATTCAAAGCAGGTCTCTGGGAATGGTTAATGGTTAAAAGCAAGATAAATGTGCTAGACATCTAAGGTCATGTAGCACTATAGTTAATGTTAGTGAAAGGTGGTTGAGTTAGTGATTAGTTGTCTAAACTGGGCAAAGGAATTGGTGAGTCAAAGGGTTAAGGTCGGGTGTTAGATTAGATAAAGGATATGTATGCGTTTGAGGAAAGAGAACAGGTTGTTGATGCAGAAAGTGTGGGATTCTGTAAGGATGTCTGATAGGTTGGGAGGTCGGTGAAGGAAGGATAGGTGGGGGAAAGCAGAGGTACGGGCTGCTTCAAAACGTGGGCACGACAATAGGATGTGTACGATTGAAAGGGGAACATTACATAAGGAACATAGGGGTGGATCAGCTTGTGACATCAGATAGGAGTGTGTTAGACGGGTGTGGCCAATGCGTAAGCGGGCGAGAGCAGTCTCCCAACATCTGTTCCGATGAAATGGAGCTGACCAGGAGGAGATTGATAGTTTTACAGAATGTAATTTATTAGTGTGGAGGCTTGACCAAAAAGATTGCCATCGTTTATACAAGAAGGTCTTAAAGTGTGGGTAATAATCCGTGGCTGGGATACGTGAGAAGCGTGGTTGGTATGATGTGGACATAGCAGCGTGGTGTGCTAGTGTATCTGCCTGTTCATTGCCGGGGATTCCAACATGGCTGGGCACCCAGCAAAATTTGATTGTTTTATGGCGTGTGGACAGGTAGAACAACCAGTTCTGGATCTTACAAACAAGGGGGTTGGTGCTGTGTATTGACTTTATGAGAGTTAATGAGCTACGGGAGTCAGTAAAAATTGTAAAAGAGGAAGAGGAGAGTGAGTATATGTGTTTTAGGGCAAAAAGGAGTGCATACAGTTCTGTAGTAAGGACACTGGATTCAGGAGGAAGGGAGTATTTGAAAGTACGAGTTGGGAATATTACTGCAAAACCAGCACCAGAGGTGGATTTGGAGCCATCAGTATATAAGTGTATACTAGAGGAATGGGTGGAGACATGGTCAAGGAAATGGATGAGAAGGACAGTAGGAGGAATATTTGATTTTGGTGGGTCGGGGAAAACAGAAGAGCAAATATGGGGGTGAGGTATAAGCCATGGAGGGACGGAATGGACAGAGAACGGGAGAGGTTGGATATGGGGGAAAGGGGATTGGGAGAGGAGGGTATCCATGCGAGTGGAGAAAGGAGTAGGTAAGCGTGGAGATGAAGCTAAGGTAGGAAGTAGGGATTGTGGGATAGTTAGTTTAGTGAGGGGAAGTTGGTGGAAACGAACATAACATCGGAGAGAGAGAAGGGCATGATGTCGAGATAGAGATGGTATGCCTGATTCAGTATACAGGCTCTCAACTGGATGTGTAGAATATGGTCTCGCCAGGTCAGTTTGGAGTTAAAAATGACGCTTAGGAATTTGCCAGAGGAACGGCATTGGAGTGTAGTGCCATATAAGAAGAGTGGGGGTAGGGGACTTACACGTGAGCGAGAGAAAAGGATGGAGAAAGATTTAGAGATAGAAAAGCGGAAGCCATGGTTTGTGGCCCAGGAAGATACTGATGAGATTGCAGATTGAAGAAATTGGTAGAGATTTGGTATGGATGTGCCAGAGGCATAGATGGTTAAATCATCAACATATAGTGATGACCGGAGGTCTCTGGGAAGCTAATCATATTGAGCATAATAAAAAAATTATAGAACAATATGGTGAACCAAAGATTAGAGTTATCTGCATACTCTTGATTTGAAATTAGTGATTTGAATGATTTGAAATTAGTACCTCATGGATAGTTATTTGAACACTAAAATTGGAAATTATTTCCAGAAGAAAATGTTTCATTAATAAAAAGATTTTATGACACAAGTGTGGAAAATACTCCTAAGGTATTAAGAATAAGTGCAAAATTAATTTCAAGGCCACATAAATCTAATAATAATTCATTTAATAACACCTATACAGCATACTATACACATCATTTTTTTGGATAATAAGTAATTGATAGTGGAGTTTGCTCATAAAAGATATTTATTCCTATAAAATAAAATAATACACGTTGAAAAGAAAAGAAAAAACAAATGGAACAATAATCACCATCTGCCTTCATATTAGAATGATTTGTTAAAGTTATCACTTCTTGGAGAAGTGTAATTGCATAACAAACAGTTAACATGAAAATAATGGAAAATTTCATCTTATAATAAAGTCCTGTTAATATTGTATATTGACTTTGCAGCAATTATAAACAGTACTTGAATGTAGAAAATAAATATAAAGATAATATCATTTCTTAAATGATGAAAAGGAAGAGAAACCCATTATTTTTGCCATTTCTGGGTCCATGCTTGATCCTTGGTCCTCATCTATTGAGGAATCTGCCTTACGTTTCCGCTCCTTGCGTTTCTCACGTCGATATTCTTTTAGCTTTTCCTCCTGAAGGAAAGAGATTTGAATAAATAAAATACAATATATATATATATATATACTGATAAAAGCATCCAGTCTTCATCACCTATTTATTTATAAATATATACTACAAATGTAGTATGGCATCATACACTCTGAATATTTTTTATCTTTATTATAATTGCAAAATACAAATTGCATTTACATTACATTATTAACATAAATTACAAAATCTAACAAATAAACCTAAAATCCTTACCTCTTCCTTTAATTCCTGCATTCTCTGTTCTACATCATAGTCTTTCTTCTTTTCTTCTAACTTTTTCTTATTCATATCAAAACGTTTTTTCACTTGGTCCAGAGAGGATCGTTCAACTCTCATGGACATTCCAAGATTTCTTTGATCTGTAATAATATTAGAATATAGAAATGAAAAGTTTCCAGGCATGTTCAATAACATACTATATTCTAGAAAATGTTCTGCTGCTTGTGGCTAATATTTCTGAACACACACACACACACAAAAAAAAATCATATATAGCAAGAACATTATATGGAATGACATCATATCTATTTATCATTCAACACAATACTACTATAATTTTTGTCTGCTAGACTTTATTGTTTAATGTGACTATGACAACCCACAAACAAAAATTCACTTGTTTAACTGTTAGAAGTAAAAATAAACCTTAATATCAATCAGTGTAAAAACAGAGAAACATTAAAAATAACAATAATAAATACTGAGGATCATATGGAGCAATTTCATATAGTAGCAAAGATCAACCTACTGCAACACTAAAAATTTATGGTACTCTGTGCAGTATGTACTCAGTTAAGAAGCAAATCTGACAAATCTTAATACAATTTACTCACGTTTTTTGCCATTGATGTGGTCTAAGAAGTTAATAGAATCCTTCACAACACAATCACACACATTGCAATAATACCTGAAAAAAATCAAATAATATATATAAAGAAAAAGTAAAAACTCCACTCCACTTCCTCCCTTTAACTTTATTCTTAACTTTTGGTTACCCTTACTCTAACCACAGAATACATTAACAAGAATAATCAAATATTGAATACTGTTAATAGCTTTCTTTCCCATATTTGTGGATTTTAGACTCACAATGTACAATACAAGACACCTTTTTCCTAATTTCTGAGTGTCAAAAAAACTATCTTCCTACACATTCTTTTAGCACCATACAAATCCTCAAAGTTCGCTATTTCATAGTATATGTTCTACTGGAAACATTTGGACATTCAATATTTAAACTTTAATTCAGAGTTATGAAGATTACTACAGACACTACAAAATCAATGCTTACTTTGCTTATTTGGACATTCTTCAAATACTTTTTATTCACACAAGCACACACACTCAAACACAGACACACACTCAAACATAGACATGCACTCAAAAGATAGAGGTTACTGGTAATAATTATGAAAGAAATATATGAATTCAATCTCTCATTACATGTAAGTAGAACAATGAAGGGAAGTACAAGAAAACACTACTTGCAATTTGTTCGACATAAATTCCACTCTCATTACTTGAATTTTTGTTTAGAAAGATTGCTTAAATAATAATCTAAAAAATAACATGCAAACACTACTGATGAAATATATTCTTATGTACTTCATTTACATAGATGAACAAAATATAAAACTACTGTAACTATAAAAGTAAACTTTATATGAAAACAAACACACACACACACACACACACACACACACACACACACACACACACACACACACACACACACACACACACACACACACACACACACATGTATATACTACATATCACACACACACACACACACACACACACACACACACACACACACACACACACACACACACACACACACACACACGCACACACACACACACACGCACACACACACACACACACACACACACACACACACACACACACACACACACACACACACACACACACACACACACACACACACACACACACACAAAAAGGCAGATGACGTTAGGGGTATTAACCCAAATCTGACGGGCATGGGAGGTACATATATGCCATGCCCACTGTGAGTTTACTTTATTAATGGTTTTTCACATAGATGGCTAAACTTGTTCTAAGTCACAAAGGAGCCAATTATGAGCATTGCCTATCTTGCCTGTTTACCCTTTTCCTTGATTTTCAAAAATATTTACATTATCTTATATTGCTGTTACTAATATAAATAATATTAAAATAACTGTAATGCCTATAATAAAAATAACACCATCAATGTTCATAGCATTTCAAGGAAAGGTGAAATCAGGTAAGGTCACAAGGTCTACTAAGTGACTACTTTGTGGCTAAGC